TTTTAATTTCAATCTTTGATAATTAATTTTTTTAAAAATTATGCATATGTATAATCGTTAAAATATAACAAATGTTAATAAAATTAACATTTTCAGTTATGTTCTTTCAATTAACCTTGCTCTATGCGGAGCAATGTGCAATTCTAGACGTGATGGCCAACTGTAATAATATTTTATTTTATATTAAGAAGAATAGATATTAAATGGTTTAAGTACCATTTTGGTCCCTCAACTTTTCATTTTGGGATCAAAATTGTCCTTCAACTTTAAAAAGTATCAAAATTATCCTTAAATTTTCATTTTCGGTACCAAAACAGTCCTTTCGTCAGTTAAATGACAGATGTCACGTTAACTTGCCAGCAAATCAATGCTTTTTTTTCTTAACTAATGACGTGAAAAAAAAAATATAGTTGGCCTATGAGTTGACATTTTTATTTAATTTAAAAATAATGATTTTTTTTTCATCCACGTCATCTCTCCTTCCTCTTTCACTTTCTCTCTCCTTTACCTTTCCTTTTCCCTTACCTCTGCAAACCCAGATCTGGGATTTGAGTTTCTCTCTCAAACTTCATCTTATTCCTCCTTTCCTCCTCCCTGCTCATCCTTCTTCTTTCTTCTTCTTATTCTTTCTCTCTCTCTCTTCTCCCTTCTTCTTCCTCTTTGAAACCCAAATCTGGGTTTTTCTCAGTCAGAATCAATGCCTTCAGCGGCAGTGAATCAGTGGCAGGAAAAAGCTAGTGGTTTTTTTTAATCGTGAATTTTCTTGATCTAGAGGGGCATAGTGAAATCTTGTCCGAAGATTTCGAGTGTTGGCTTGAATTCATGTGTTTGGATCAAAATCTGGTTTCAGTGAATGTCAATTTCATGGGTAGCAGCCACGTCTTGGTCGAAGAAAATGTAAGCTTTAGCTATGAGAACATAGAAGAGAGGAAAGGTAGGAACGGTTTCAAAGGAGTTCGAGTTTGGAGAATTTGCAAGGGGAAGATAGCGAGGAAGTGAATGTTAGGGCTACAAGCGGGTACCTTGGGAGCTTGCCGAACCATTTCTTATTGGAAATGTATCACATTTTGCAGAAAAACAAAAACCAAAAAAAGGCCACCAGAAGGGGCCCAACAACCGACAGACCATAAAGGGTCATTAGAGCAGGGAGCACGAAACCGGCTCCATCATGCTTGAGCAGCCGAAGATCCCGGCAGCTCAAGCATCAAAAACTCAAAAGCCCTTGGGCTTTTGATCTCAAAATAACGAAACGCAGATGAAGGTAATCAAAAGCAAGAGAAGAAGGTGGAGAGAGAGGAAAGATTTTTTCTTTTTTTTTTTTTTTTGGTAGTAACCCCAGTATCCAGAAATTACGTTAGATCCTAACTAATTTAGAATCGAATCAGATCGGATCCCATATGAGGGGAAGCTCTTCTAACGTCTGTTTTTTCATTCACAAGAGTCAAACTCGAGATCTTATTTAAGGAGAATCAAGTTCTTTCCACTCAGATTAACATATCGTTGATATGTTAATAACCTTTGTAACACTAAAATTTGATTTTCAGAAACATTTTCTCGGATGAGAATCACATTCTAGACCTCAATCAACCACGTACATTTGCTTAGATCAAGAGCAAAACCAAAGGGGCGGCCTTCAAATTTGTTGAACGGAGCCTTTTCCTCTACCCGTGTGCCAAAATCTTTGAATTACCTGTTCCGTACCTAATTTTTGTTTGGACTTTGGAGAGTTATTTTATTAATTACT